ATCGAATCGAGCTCATCATTCTGAAGCAAGGGGCAAAGAAAAAAAGCATCCTCAGCCTCAGAATACGCAACCAGCAAGCCACGCCCTGGAGCGAGACGGAATCGAACAGGGCAGGGCTGCTTAGCACACGCCCATGTGTGTGTGAAGGAATCGCCGACTAAAGGGGTTAGGGTGGTTTTTTCGTCCCTTGAAGAAAAAATGCGAAGCCGCACCTCGGGACGTCGGTTGCTGGGCGGAGGCGTTCGGGGAGCGCGTCTTTCCGTGTGCCGCAGTGGCTTGAGCCGTCGCGGCATCGGCAGCGCGCGTCACTGGCCACACGAGCCCTGGAAGGAGGAAACGGAGGGAGGGAGGGGGAGGAGACAGGAGGAGGGGCAAGAAGAAGGATGAGGAGGAAGGATCAGCGGCCGAGGAGAAGCACAAACTCCGCTGACCCCATCGGCGTGTGTGAGAGGCATGTGGCCCTCGCAGATTCCATAGAATGCTCTGGCCACTTTCACACAAAACCACCTCCAGACCCCCGACGTCTTGATTCTTTCATAACGTCGACCCTCACAAGTCTCTACCCATTCCGCGGGACCGGTTTCTCATCCCGAATCATGGCATGTCGGTCCCGGGGCCCAGTAAGGGCCACCAGGGACCGAAAATCGCGAAAAACCTGCTCTCGTGGGTAATTCATGACTCGAGGGGGCCTGGGCCTACTACAGCCGGGGCCCGACCGACCACAAGCAACATTCCACAGAAAACCCAACCCTGAGACCCCAGGACGTCCATCGTTTCTTGGCGTGGGAACGCCACGCTCTCCATGACGAAAGCATCGAAACCGAGGAAACCCAGGGAACCCTGAAGGCAAGCAGGGTGTTTGTTGGCATGGGCCTCCACTGTATCTCGTGACTCGATGGGGGCCTGGGTCGACTACAGGCGAGGCCCTGTCCTTGCACACCTTCCCCACCTCCAGGGAAAAGGCGGGGGGGCGAGGCGCCTGCTTGGCCAGAGGGCTCTCCCAGGGCCCCGCGCACCTCGCCCTCGGAGGGGGGAGGGAGGAGGAGGAGGAGGAGGAGGAAGACCAGTGTAGGAGGAGGAGGAGAGATGAGGAGGAACATGAGGAGGAGGAGGAGGAGGAGGGGAGGAGGATCGACGTCCGTCGCGGGGGCAAGAGGATTGAGGGTGCGGGGAGGGAGGAAAGGTTCAGGGCCGAGGAAGATGAGGAGGAAGAGAAACAGGAGGAGGAAGAGGAAGAGGAGGTGGAGGGAGGAGGAGGAGGAGGAAGAGGAAAGGGAGGAGGAGGAGGAGGAGGAGGAGAAGGAGAGGAGGAGGAGGAGGAGGAGGAGGAGGAGGAGGAGAGGGAGGAGGAGGAGGAGGAGGAGGGAGGAGGAGGAGGAGGGAGGAGGAGGGAGGAGGAGGCAGGAGGAGGAGGAGGAGGAGGAGGAGGAGGAGGAGGAGCAGTATGGGTACCGTTTCCTCCGCCGACCTCAGCTTACTACAGGGGGCGCCCCTTTCATTGCACCCCTTCCCCACACCCTGGGGGGGAGGCGCCTGCCTGGCTCTACCGGGGCCACGCGACCCTCGCCCTCAGAGGGAGCAGGGAGGAGGGAGGAGAAGGAGGAGGAAAAAAGGAACAGTGCAAACCCAGGACTCTTCAACGATGTTGGAATCAACCTCTCTCCAAGCTTCCTCTTCACAGGCCCCTACAAAGATTCAGTTCCACTGAGGAAAGTGCCCCTTGGGGGGGCAACCGCATGAAGATCCTGAAGCGTGCCAAAACACCACTCCTGGAACTCCAAAGCCCACGATTCAACCTGACTTTCGCGTCTTGACGATCCTGAATCTTGTCAGAACACCATTCCCGTGACTTCAACACCGCGAATCAGCGTAACTGGTGCGCCCTGACATTCCTGAATCGTTCCACAACGTCGTTTCTGGTACATTCACCATGGGGTTCCGCGAAGCCGTTGAAAATGTTCAAGACGAGTGAGCGCGGCGCAAAAGCGAGAGCCACAATGTAAAAACGGCCCGCCCTGAATCCGTGAATTCCTGCCCGTGTAGAACGAATGCACGCGGTGCTGGGGCGAGAACCACAACTTGAAAACGGCCCTCCCGCAACACGTGAAAGCCTGGCAAATGTTTAAGACAATGAGCGCGGCGCTCAATAAAAAAGCCACACAGTGTGAAAACCGCGCGTCCTCGAATTGTCAAAGTGTTGACCATGTTAAGTGTCAAGCCAAAAGCGGCGAGGAAGTCTCATGCGAAACGCCTGGCCCGGGCGTTCGACCGGCCTCGGGGGCGACAGAGGGGAGTTGATCAGAAGGAAAAGGGCTGGGGAAGGGATGATGAGGCGAGGGGAAGAAGGAGGAGGAGGAGGAGGAGGAGGGAAGAGGAAGGAGGAAGAGGAAGGAGGAGGAGGAAGAGGAAGAGGAGGATGAGGAACCAACGACGGCGTCGACGACGGGTCGAGGGGAGCGGAAGGAGCGGGGTGAGCGGGGCCGGCCACAAAGGCCACAGCACCCGCGCTCTGCACATCGAGATATGCGTGGTCGTATACCGCTTCAAAGCAGCCCTGCTCGTCGGGCCTCGGAGCTGGACGGTTGGCCGGGCACATGCTGTCCTCCTGACAACTGGCCATCGCTCGGACGTCCATTCCTGTGCTTTTTCGGTTTCGTGCGTGGTTTTTTCGCCAAATGATCAAGGATGCTCCTCGATGGTCCTCGCCGAGGAAAAAACGCACACGTCCGAGCGATGCCAGGGACAAAGGGGGATCAACAGCCTCTGGGATAAATCTGTGACGCTCGGGATCGACCTTCTTTAGACGCCTCTTGCCCACAAAGTCTGGGAGGGCCAGGAACCTCTCGTCGGCCTCTTCGCTCTAAAGAGCGGGGGCAAACTTGAGGCCTTCTGGGACTTCCAATGTGTCTGGCGGGCAATCTACATCCAGGTCCTCATCGGGACTGGGAAGAAAAGACGAAATCGAGGAATAAACAGCCCGAGCGATGGCCTGACAAAGGCCAACAGGATAAACCTTTTGTTTTGCAAGCTGTTTTGAAACGAGACTACCTGTCTTTACCGAGCAAGGTCGTGTGCACCGCGAGCATCTTCCGCCTCCAGGGGTGGACTTCAACTGGTCGGGCACTCTGGCATTATGATACTAATTATGCGCGTGGGAGCTCTGCCTACCGAGGTCCAATCAGTATCGGGGGCCACGTGCTCGCACTGATCAGAGTCCGTGGCCGTCGAAGAGGCGGCCGAAACCAACGCAGCGAGAGGGGGCCAACAGAAGGAAGAGGGAGCGTGGGGGAGCCGATCAGGAGGAATGGGGTGTTCACCCCACCCCGACGCACCAGCACGTCCCTGCGAACCAACTTGCAACTGCTCGCCCCAGACATGCGTGGTGGTCCTGGGCGGAGGGGGGCCCCCTTCGTACCACCTCGCGGCAGACCAAGTCTCGCAAGCGGGCCCCCCTCCAGAGTTGAACATCCTCCTAGCTCGTACGTGCTCGACCCACACACCAGGGCACCATCGCTGGTCAGATCCCCACGAGTAGCATCGATAGCAATATCGAGCGCGACAAACAGTAAAGCTCGAAACCGGGGTCTGCGTGAGCGTTTTCCAGATTCCATTGCATGTCCCCGGAACGCCTCAGGTCAAAAAAGAGGTTCAAAAAAAAAATGAACGAACGTCTGATGTTGTAAGGCAAGCTAAGAGCAGGGACGCCTTGGAAATCCTGCGGCCTGAACGGCCAAAATCTGCCATCCAGGGTCTCGGGGCCAGCGGCGGCCAACGGCTCAGTAGCTTCGGGTCCGAAAGGGAAATCATGGCCCGAACGGCGTCCTCTGAAAAAAAACATAGTCCGACTCAACAAGGATGGAACGGGCCTCAGATACGCTCAGATGAGGATGAACCTGCTGCTCAAAGTCTGAGGTTGGCCTGCTTGGGGGTCCCTTGAAGGTTGGATGTTGGTGTCTCCAAATTGCCAAACCTGTTTTGCGGTGTGCCACGGCAGCTGCATAGGCTTTGGCGTTCAACGAGGCAATCTCAGCTGCATTGATGCCAGGTCCGTGCGCTGGAACTGCGACAGCACAGGTAGGGAAATCCTTGGCTAGGTGTTCCACTAGACCTCGGCGATTGGCGAAAACCATGTGGCAAAATGTGCATGCTGTGCCATGACCCAGGGCAGTACGAATACTATGAGCGTGAGAGCGATGCGTGCAAGCTGTATGTTGACGGAGCCCGCGAACAAAGGTGAAAAGCGGAGGACACCACAAGCATCTGAACTGGGGATCATCTGAAGCCTCATGAGCATGAAGGGAGGAAGAGGGGGAGGAGGAGGAGAAGGAGAAGGAGGAGAAGGAGGAGGAGGAGAAGGAGGAGGAGGAGCGGAGGAGGAGAGGAGGAGGGAGGAGGAGGGGAGAGGAAGGAGGAGAGAGAGGAGGAACGAGGAGGAGGAGGAGGAGGAGGAGGAGGAGGAGGAGGAGGAGGAGGAGGAGGAGGAGGAGGAGGAGGGGGAGGGGGGGGGGGAGGGGGGAGGAGGGAGGAGGAGGAGGAGGAGGAGGAGGGAGGAGGAGGAGGGAGGGGGGAGGAGGAGGAGGAGGAGAGAGGGGGAGGAGGAGGAGGGAAGAAGGGGGGGAGGAGAAGGACGGGCAGGAGAAGGAGGAGGCGGGGGGGGGGTAGGAGGGGAGGAGGAGGGGTGGAGGAGGAGGAGGAGGAGGAGGAGGAGGGGGAGGGAGTTGGAGGGAGGAGGAGGAGGGAGAAGGAAGAGGAGGAGGAGGAGGAGAAGGAGGAGCAGGGAGGATTTATCAAGTGCGGGTGGCCCTCCTCTCCCCCTCCCCCCCTCTGGAACGGATCCGCCGCCCCGTAGCCGTCGCGCGGGTGCGCTCTGGGTGACGCCCGAAACCGCTGCGTACGCAGGGAGGGAAGAGGAGGAGGAGGAGGAGGAGGAGGAAGAGGAGGAAGAGGAGGGTATGCCCCTCGCCCGCCCCCCCAGCGGGGGGTCGTGCCCCCCCCCCCCC